TTTATCAACTGCGAATGATATACGTCTAATAAAGTTTCCATCATCACCATCATTGTCGTCGTCATCATCTTTCTCATCATCGTCATCATTATCATCAGCAAGAAAAACATCATCGCTATCATCACCATCGCCATTATCACCATCATCATCATTATCTCGACTATTATCATTATCGCCCGATCGAATTATAAAACGATTTTCACGATCATCATCATCATCATCATCATCATCATCATCATCATCGTTGTTATTATCTCATTCCGCGTCACTGTCACCATCATCACGATCAGTATCACTATCACCACCAAGCTCGTCATCATCATCATCACAATCATTATCATCATCGTCACATTCATCTTCAATATCCCAACGATCATCAGAATCTTCTTCGTCAGCGTCATCACAATCATCATCATCATCATCATTACCATCATCATCACCATCGTCATCATCTTCAATATCGCAACGATCATCATCAGTATCATTACAACCATCATCATCATCATCATCCTCACAACCATCACCACTATCGTCCTCATTTTTAATATCGCAACGATCATCATCAGTATCATTACAATCATCATCATTATCTTCATCATCATTACAATCATCATCGCTATCATCATTATCATTGTGGCAGCCGGATATCCGGTATCGTTTTGTATCGGAACGAGTATCGTTATTCAATCTCGACCCCGTCACTGGCATCATTACGACCAAGAAGGTACTTTTTGGAATTTTTTAGTAGCGGTCCACTTTTAAACTTTTCATTTTGTATGTTTGTATTGTTTGCATGCAATTTTGTATGTGTATATGTGTATGTATGTATGTGTGCATGTTTGCATGTGTCAATGTATGTACGAGCGAAAGTATGGATGCTTTTATGTTTTGTATGTTTGTGTACAATTTCTGAAAATTTTTTCCCATCCTTATAGAAACCGATACTTATTTAAAAATTAAATCGGTTAGTTGGCGTGTTTATGCAATACCACACAATCACACACACACACGCACACACACAATCACACACACACATAACTACACACACAAATAAACAGACACTTACACGTATATACAACTACACATACATACACACACAAACAGTCAAAAACACTCACACACACACACACACATGAATAGGTAGATAAAATATTAATATACATAACATCTGCGCTATATGAATGAAAAAATTTTAAAAATGACTCTTAAAAAGTTTATTTAAGGAAAAGATTTGAAGGAGTGAAGATAAAAAAGATTATAGCTTTTAAACTTGTCAACTGAAATTTGTCACGTAAAATTTGGCGGGAAAATTTTTAGCGGGAAATCTCCATCAAACGTTTAAAAGTTTTTAAACTCATTGGCCCAGAAATAAATCAAAGTCTGAAGTTTTCAAATTTTTTTTGTAAAAAATCTTTGAAAACGAACGCAACTGTTATATAATTTCGATTTGTGAAATTTGAAGAATTTGAAAACCAGTTGAGAACATCTGTCATCATCACTATCAAAATTTACTATTTTTGATTTAAATTAAAGTTTAAATTTAAATAATCTCAGAGTAAGATAGTAAAATTTTAAAGGGCTAAACTAATTTTTAAAAGATCGAAAAATTATGATGTTTTTAAAAATGAGGGAAATTTTCACAAAAGTTTTTATGTAAGGAAATAAATTTATAAGCGGCCCATTTTTAAACTTTTCATTTTCATCAATCATTCAATGCATGAATGAATGAATGGATGATCAAACAAATGAATAAAATAAATGAATTGCTTCTT